ATGAGGAAACTGCTGTGGTTCCATATTGTGGTTGTTGGTCATCACTATGCGGTCCCTTCTATGCGCATGTATACACAAAGTGGCAGGTTGCTCTGCCTGCTGTGTTATGCAGTGCAAGAGGGACACGCAGCATAACAACCTGCCACTTCGTATATACATGCGCATAGAAGGGACCACATAGTGATGAGCAACAACCACAATATGGAAGCATAGCAGTTTCCTCATTTATAATTTTAAAACACCTGACCTTATAGGTCGAAACATGTAGTGAATAACTTTTAGGAAGTTTTACAAAAGGACATGCTGCACGTGAGACTGTGAAACAATTTGGTACTAAATGAAGTGCAGCAGGGTGCTACACTATACTAAAGCAAAGTAAAGCTACCACTGTAACAGGCCGTGGAGGCCCATAGGGTTGTGAGATGTTGAGGTTCCCACATTTTCTAGACAATTGGCTGACAGATGGTGGCAAGATTGTCAGCCCTATGCACCGGCATCCCTTTACCCCCAAGAATATTCCTGGTACTCACTTCTGTTAGAGGCTGAGTCGACCCCAGGGGCCATAGTGCGGCTGGAAGGATTAGGTCAATTGAAAAAAATCCATTGACTTCATCGGGACTTGAACCCATGACCTTCCGGCTTGTATTAGAAATGAGAGCTCATGACCAGATCTGGACTGATACTCACTCCCTCCTGTTCAGTTTTCTTCTTTCGTTTCTCCACTTTATTTTTGCCAGGTCCCTTTCCATGAAATTCATGAGACAGGTATCTGAAATTAGAAACAGAGACAACATTAAAGTCACTGTATGTTTCCAAGTAACATGTAAAATCCTTTCATCCTGAAGTTTCAGCCAGAAAAAAAGGTATGATCCATATAGTTCAATCTGTTATTTTGTGAAATAATAAAAATATGTAACATTCTGTTTTCCAACACAACTTACTCATACAGCCAATTGCCAGAAATGGGCATGCTACAGCACATTAAAGTCATAGATATTGAAATGATTAACACAAAATATTTTAATAAAAGTACAATGGGATAGTAATAATTTTGAGGCATGTTTCTTCCTAATTCAAGCAACCTATCTGCAAAATGAACCATTCTGCCACATTCTGTGCCTACACAACAAACTGTATCAAGTACAAAGTATTTACACACTCAAACGTCACAATATGTTGGCTAGTTACAAACTGTCACATACAGAATGGGTGAAAAGGAAGTCAATACAACAAGTATATATCAAAATGTTCTACTGAAAGCATCTGGGGTGGAAGACAATAATCTCACCACCCATGATAGGGTAATCATGATAGTGCTGGTCAGCAGAGGGACCCTACAATTTAACATGGGCTCTAATCCATTGGGGGGGGGGCATCCTTTGTATTCCTGAAGCTTGAACTCTGGTAGATGTAAAGGCATCATCTGTGAGCAGAAAAATCTGTACACAGATGCAAATAGGGTTCGAACTCAAAACCTTCTGAATGGGTATAACAGCTTACCCCAGAACCTTTTTCTTAAGGACCTAACTTAAGTCGCTCTAGTGGTGCTCCCAACTCAGTCACCAAGTTAATATGGCTGATGGTACACAACTAAAAGAACATGTGAGTGGCACGATGACAATACAGGTTTTCACATAAATCCATCAATTGGTTCAAACATTATCGTGAGGATGGCACACATGGATGATAACACGGTAGTCCCATAATCTTGTCTGTTTCCACTGAAAAACTGCTTCCTCCTTGGAATTTTTTTCTTAAAATTGCAATTACTGTGGAAAATTTTTCTGCTCTACAGAATGTACTACCATTGGACAGGCTACCCTCCACAGTGTGACCTATCTTAAAAACAGATATGCTATTATCTGTGCTAACCTGAAAGCCTCCTTTGCATTAAGTACGTGTCCATCATCATCTGTGTAGTCGAGTGTAATATTTGGTTTGTAGCCCTCCTTTTCTTTGAAGTCTGAGGTCAGACCACTGTAACGCTCGCGACGCCCAAACTTTCCATCATCTCTGAAAAAGATAAAACAATGCTGTATATTAAATTCCTTAATTAGTCTTGCTTGCTTACTTCGTCCTGTCTTGACCATCATGTAGACCTCCCTAATACTCAAGTGGGTCAATCCCGAGAGACAAGATGAGACTTGCAATCCAGCTATAGAGGAGATGACAAAGTATTCAAAGCTCAGATATTCTTTACCCTTCAAAATCTCCTACTCTACTACATAATCAAAGCAAGTGGCCGATCCTTGTGCCCATGACAACACTCTCCCCTAAGGCCTGCTGCGGAGAAGACTTGACAGCTACAGGACACTCAGGTGACTTAGTCTGCAGCCACCTGCTCACGCTAGTTCGCTTGTGGATTTTTATACCCTGACGATGGAGGCGATACATTCCTCAAAAACATCAGTTTACACAATATCTATACAGTGCCACATCCCAGAAGACGGCATTCTTCATGAGTAACATTCATAACATACCAAGACACTATACAGTAAAAAAAGAAAAAGTGAAGTTATCCCTGTAACAGACTGTGGAGGTCCATAGCGTTGTGAGATGTTGAGGCTTCCATATTTTCTAGACAATCGGCGGTGAGGTCGTCAGCCTTATGTGCCAAGCTATCCCTGTAACAGACCATGAAGGCCCATAGGGTAGTGAGACATTAAGACTCCCACATTTTCTAGACAATTGGCTCATCGATGGTGGTGAGGTTGTCAGCCTTATGCACTGGCTGCACTTTACCCCCCATGAAAATTCCTGGTACTCATTTCTGAAAAAGTTAAATAGTTCCATTCAGTGGGACTGGTTATGATTTTCTTATTTCAATTAGTCATGCCCTTACACATTTCGGTCTTCAGAGACCATCTTTGGAGGGACACCTTTTACATCAGTACAGTTGAGTAAAAGCAACACAGAGGGCCAGAAACACATACAGGACAACATTAAAGAACCCTCTTCTCGAGAACGACAAGGTGGAACACATTCAGCCCCCGTCAAAAGAAATAATAAGAGGGACAACACGAACCAGCTTGGTTTATCAATTCCAACAGAATCTTGACAAACTAACTATAAATATTTTAAAGTATTGGAACAGCCGCAGTAGTTGTAAAGACTTTAGATTTTACAGCCAATTGTATATTATTTATATTGTATGTATATATTTTAACTTTTAGAACATGTACTGTAATAGTAGTTTCTAACAGTACTGATGTAAAGGTGTCCCTCTGAAGACCGAAACATCTAAAGGCATGAATAATTGAAATAAGAATATCATAACCAGTCACACTGAATGGAACTATTTAACTTTTTCATAATATTAGTGTGATGGACCAGAATGAAACAAATCATACTCATTTCTGTTAAGAGGGTGAGTTGACCCTAGGGCCATAGTGCAGCTGGAAGGATTAGGTCAATTGAAAAAAATTAATGACCTCGTCGGGACTTGAACCCACGACCTTCCAACTTGTAGCATAGTGCCTCAACCATCCTACTGCTACTAATATTAAACAGTAATGATTAATGTGTTTCTACTAAAACCCCTAACAAAACTGCAGTATATGATTAAATATGGTACACTATCCGATGAGGTCATTGGATTTTTTTTCAAATGACCTAATCCTTCCAGCTGCACTATGGTCCTGGGGCCGACTCAGCCTCTAACAGAAATGAGTACCAGGAATTAATTAAATAATTTTCCTGGGGAGTAAAGTGCAGCCGGCGCTTAAGGCTGGCAACCTTAAAACCATCTATGAGCTGACTGTCTAGATAATGTGGGACCCTCAACGTCTCACAACCCTATGGGCCTTCACGGTCTGTTACAGGGATAGCTTTACTTTCACACCATTTATGAAATACTTAAAATATAAATGCACAATTAAAACCAATACTATCGCGTCAATATCCCTTAATTTGAATAGGCCTATGTTGTACATAAAGAATCTGCTAATGACTCACCAATCTCAACTTCATTCCAAGCTCCACGTTTGCCTTCTTCTTCCTGACGTTTCTTCTCTTCAATCATTTCCCTCTCCAAGTCCTGTAATGTAAATTTTGTATGAGATTAGCAGAACGCAAATGCGCAGTCCAAAAATTACCAATTCAAAATTACCTTGAGATAGTCTGAAATCTGAATTGCTTACCCACCAACCAATGTATAAAGAATTACTATACTGTGTAGTATTTGAGCTTCTGACAGCAGTGGTTTTGAAGAGTTCTGTCATCTGGGATATAATGCCGTGTAGTCTGTCGAAAGTCAATAGACAGTTTGCAGAAACATGTTGCCTCCATCTTCAGGGATGAAGAATAAATCAAGCAAGAAACCAGCACTGGCAGGTAACAAAGCCAGGGTTCCTACCTGCTTCACGGTGGCTTCTTGTTCTGTTTATTCTTTGACCCTGAAGATTCAGGGGACATGTTCCCCCAGAAATTCAGACGATACCCCAGAAGATGGAATTCTTCTGACTATACTGATCATCTTGAAATTTCTTTGCCAAAATATCTTTTAATATCATAGTATGCTTAAAGTTACATAATAGAAACATACTCTCATTCTGCCAAGCAATGTGCACCTGCCAAACTGACTCTGAGTTTGCAGTGAGAATACTGTGATGATTAACATTCAATTCACTTTGCAATGAATAAAATTACAAGAACTATTGGTTTTTCATTTTATCATGTTCTGAGCTATTTATTCATCCCTATTTCAATTAAACATGTAATTCCTAATAGCGTTTTTTCTACCTTTGTATCATGCACATGGCAGGGAGAAAAAAGAAATAAAAGATGGGAAAAGAAGACTGGATTTCAGATTCTTGTAGAGGAGATTGAGAAAGGCACTATCTTCTGGGAAGTAACATCCTGTAAGTCCACTGACATTCCTTCAAAATGCTTATGGACCTTATCACATTACACGGCATTTTATTCCAGAAGGTACCACTTGTCAAGAAGAAGAAGAAGAAAAAGGTTCTACCATCTCAACTATCACATTCTTACTATATAACAAGTGCTTTCATTTCTAGGGTTTCTGTTGGATGTTTCCATTTCAGTAATTTATATATCCATTATCATGGAATTCAACTGCAGTAAATAACTGTACATGAGCAATGGACTGTATCCAGTCTTGACACATGCTAAATCAAAGTGCCTTGCCAAGTGTACATGTATCTGCGGATGGTTATATTGCACTCACGAGTTCCTGAGCATCCTCATCCCTGTTGCCAGCCAGACCATAAATGGGGATGTCACCCAATGTACAGCAGAATTCTGCAGTAGCATTCAGCACAATGGAACCACCTTCCGTGTTTCCTTCTGAGTGTCTCTCCAGTACTGACTCTGCCACCTACAGACATCACAAATCACAAACAGTTAAATTATGTAGCTATACAGCATTGTTTTGTAGTATCCATAAATGCAAAGCTGTCCCTATGCTTAATTAGTTATGCTCTAGATCAGGCATGTCCAACTTCAAGATCAAACAGGTTGTGATCGATTTTTTAGTGTCAAAACTGCCAGTGATCTACCACCTTCTCCTATCGTTGTACCTCGCTTTAAGCAAAAATACTGGCAAAAATAACACGACACATGATGTTTGTTGTAAAAGCAACATACACTGAAAGTACAGACTACTTTAATATGTATTTTCCCTTCAAAATCTGAATATAATCATATTATATTACAAGTGAATTTACATGCTTTTCACGTATAATTTCCTTATAGGCCTATGAGATCGACCAAAAATCATCCCGCAATCGACGCACTGGACATGCCTGCTCTAGATGGAGGTGAGTGGCCAGCTCCATGCCACTCCCACACACGGGGAAACAGCCCCTGGTGCCTATTTGACAGGAGGCCATAACAGGTCTCAATAACCAAAATACAGCAAAGGATGATATCAATCTAAAAATCCAATTACCTATCTGGGAATCGAACCCATTACCTTTCAGTTCATAGCACAGTAAGAAAGGATGATTATATTACTTAAATGTGAAGATATAATTTACTGGTTTGAGGCCAACCACAACAAACTGTGAGAGAAACAATTTAATAGCCCTCAGGTTAAATTACAATATAGTTTCTCTAGGGTACAATGGTTTTGTAAAGTAACCAAGGAGGAAACATCATAATGAACTTTACTACAAAGTTCTGTGCAACATTTTATAACTGGAACATATGGAGACACTGTGTAGGAACTAAACATGGCACAGGATTCTGTAGCTAGGGACAATTTCATCACCTCCCACCACCTATCCACAGGGCTGCTCCTCTCTTGTCTCAGGGAGAAAAAGCAGAGAGGCAGGTAAGGGGAAGATGGCCTTCACTGAACAAGAGAAATGACCCCTACTACAGCCAACTATTTGTGAGGATTAAAAAGGAAATCTGCTGTTGTGATGTACCTTTTCTACACTGTTCTTTGATTCTGTAACAGCTTCCTGCAGCTTCAGTCTCCGTGCTTTCTTGAGGGCTATCTGTAGATCCAGTTCACTGTTATCAGGCTCAGTCCTGATGTTGGACACTATCTCTTCTGGTGCTGAAAGTTGTGTCCGATTATTAACAACATTCAAAATTGCTCCTGCACTACATTTCCTTTCATGATTTCACAACACACTTCGTAGCGGAAACTATATAGTATAAAATGGCCAATGATTAGTAAATAATGTATTCAAAAGTCTTGGTGCTTGTCACCTGATTAGGGATACTAAGTCCAAAAACACATGCCTGGTGGTTCTGTGAAAAACCATGAAAAAACCTAAGTCACGTTTGCCAGATGTTCCAGCGGAGATTCATGAACACAAGAACCCGGTTCCCTTTTTTTGAGTTCGAACTGTGGAAGTAACATGAGTCTGTACTTACAGTACAATTGGGCACGTTTATCTCTTCTTGTAGCAGTTCAATAATTTTTTGTGCTGATCTGAGGTCTGTTTTAAATTTAGGACAACAAGCACTCGTTACCTCACTTGTTTCGTACTATCATTGATGAAAACTTCAGTGTCATCACCATGATCCACTGTAGGACCTGCCATTTTAGATGTCAATAAGAGTGATAATCAATGGATTGATCTCTCAGGAATTTCTTATGCAGCTCCTAATAATTTTGCAGAAACACCAAAATTATTCAACTTATAAAATAATTTATAGTCAACATCACACAGCTCTCGTATGCTGAGGCCATTAAACTACAAGAACAAAGACAGAATTAATTTTGAACTTTGATAAAAAATAATGCAATATTTGTACATTTTAAACTTTCTGATAGCTCAGTCGGTATAGCGACAGGCTACATGCTGCAAGACTGTGGGCCCTCAGTTTCGTTCCGACCCTTCGGCGCCAGTGTATAAATCGTGTCCAATGACATTAGTTGACATAAAAAGATCATTCTCAGTCTATGAACTAATTTTGACAGACAGTAGACGTGGTTTGTCACCAGAAAACGTTGAAAAACTTCTAGTTGCCTATTGTGATGCTACTTTCTGCAGTGAATGATACATGTAAATAGGTGAGTCTGTATAAAGTGACCTACTTCTTAAGTGCATATTGTTTTATTTTTGGAGTTTATTTTCCCGCTATTTAGCGCATATTTTAAGTGTTTTTAGTGCATAAAGATCCAGGCCCTAGTGATAACACAGGTACCATAAAGAAAAACACAAACTTTAATTGACACTAATAAGGAGGTTGGTCTAGAAGTAAACACAGAGAAAACTAAGTATATGTTTCTGTCTCATGACAAAAATGCAGGGCAAAATCATGACATAAACATATGTAACATGTTTTGAAAATATGGCACAGTTCAGATATTTGTGAACGATACAAAATCAAAACCTGATTCACGACGAAATTCAGAGGAGATTGAACTCGGGTATTGCTTGCTACCATTCAGTCCAGGACCTTTTGTCTTCCATCTGCTGTACAAAAACATAAAAATTAGAATATACAAAACTATAATTTTGCCTGTAGTTCTGTATGGGTGTGAAACTTAGTCTCTGACATTAAGAGAGGAACATAGACTGAGGGTGTTGAGAATATTTGGGCCAAAGAGAGATGAAGTGAGAGGAAGTTGAAGAAAACTGCATAATAAGGAACTTTATAAGTTGTACTTTTTGCCAAGTATAATTACAATGATCAAGCCAAGGAGAATTGCATGGGCATGGAATGTAGCATGAATGGGGTTGAAGAGGAAAGCATACAGGATATTGGTGGGAAAGCCAGAAGGGAAGAGACCACTAGGATGGATAATATTAAAATGTTATGGAGATAGGATGGAGTAGTATGGACTGGATTGATCTGGCGCAGGATAGAGACTAGTAGAGGGCTTTTGTGAAAATGGTGATGAACCTTCAGGATCCTTTGGAGCAGTAGATTTTGAATGCTAAGTTGAAGACCATCTCACATGCACGTAACTTAACAGTGAGTGAGGAAAACTCTTAAATGAAGGATAATTAGGTGCTGCTGTCCTCTGAAGCGAAGTGGCAGTTCATGCTGCTTGTAGGGTGTTTGGGTACAGCTCTCTGTTGGAATGACAGATTATTAACATTGGGAAGGCACTACCTGACTTTTTCTTTTCAGTTGTCAGTAACCATTACACAGAATGTTCTCCCCCCACTACACAGCATCCATCAGAAAGGCTTTTTCCTTTCAGAGTGAGCAAATGAACACATTTCCCCATTATTACAAGGAACTACTGGGCATTTGTGCTAGTCAGTTCTGGAGATGAACGTCAATGTCAAATGCATTAACATCTTGGCAGTGTTACCGCGTGTACTCAAGAGACATGAAGGACATGAAGTATGCTGGGACGTGCTCCTTAACCTGAGTGCCTGTAAGAGTGAAACTGGTACTCCTGTACGAGAATGTGCACTGTGTTATCCAGGTGGATGTCATATAGATAATACATGCTAACGTGTTTTGAAGACGGGACATCTACAGCACACTTGAATTCAGGTCATCCATGGACTGTACAGACAGCAATCATGGAATGAGAGCCTAGATGATATTGCACAAGAATTGGGACTGTCGCAAACAAGGCCAAGTACTACATGATGATCAGTTGCATCTGTACAACTACTTGCAGAGCTCTCTTCTGTTTTGAGACAGTCATCCTCTGCAGACGAGCTCACTTCACATAACATTCTGTGGATAGCTGAAGGAAGTTTGTTCAACATCCATCTCAGGCATGGTATGTTTGCCAGGGACAGTGTTGTGGTGATAAGATGCACCTCTAGCTGCAAGGCAGAGGTTGTGGTTTTAGCGCAGAAGCCTCCTTGGTTCCGAAATCCTGTGGTGACAGGACTCCAAGCAGATTAAACAGTGGTCGATGGCAGCAAATTAGGGTGTTTTTGAGAGGATACTGTGCCAGGCACTGCTTGGAACACCTACCCACTGGCCCACGGATCAATCATTCCATATCTTGTGCCACTTGAAAACTAAATATCACAGGATAGGTGTTGTATGATATTTTTGACATTCTTCCTTCTTTAACCATGAAATGATACTGTGCATGAGTTTTGTTCCATCCTGTGTAGCATGTTCAAATTTGCAATTTGTAAAGCCCTATATAACTGTTACAGTATATTGACAGTTTGGGAGTAGTATCAGTGAAGAAAATCTGTGTCAAGTTCATGGATGAGCAAGGACTGCGCAGTGTCCACCTCTTCATCTGTGCACCATCTGTGAGGAACTACCATACTACAGCTATATGTCATCTCATGTTCATTCTTCTAGGTCATTATTTGTGTGGACCTTGTTCTGTATATGTACATACCCTTTGGTCATGAAGTGAAATGTAATTTCTGCAGTACATTATAAACATGATAAATTTTATCTCTCATACCCCCTCCCCAGATCAGTACTGTAAGGGAGTAGGCAGGGCATGGAGGATCTCAGCAGAACTGCTTGTGGGTCTATACATGCACTCCCCCATGTCTTCATGGCGTAGTCAAGGACAGGGACAACTTTACCTTCTTTTTTTTTTTTTTTTTCACTGTAATTAGAAAATGGTCTCATGCAATTTCCAAATATAATGAAGCAACTCCTGGCAGTTTCTACCCCATTTGAAATAACTTTTATAATGCAAATCACTGATTACCTTGCCTCTGCAAACTCCTCCATTCACACATCGAATTTTGATCCAGGCAGTCTGCAATGTGTTAATTTGCCGTACACCAACTGTGAATGAACAAAACACAGTGTCAAGATATTTTCAGTATTTCACCGCAACTGGGCACTAGATTGATGTGAGTGATCAGATTTGTGCTGCCCAGAGTGCCACAGTCTGTTTCATTCATACAGAAAAGGGTTACGTGCTCTAAGGAGATACAGTATTCACATGAATGAAGAAACAAGTCCCAGTTAAGATATGGGCGAGTCATGCATGCTCAGGCGACATGCTTCCCGAGCAGATTAACATTCCATTACAAAACCACTATACAGATTTGGAATAAGTATCACAACACATGCAACAGAAAGGTATGCAAATGTACATGACATGCACTGACCTACTGCACTACGATTTATACAAAATGAGACAGTTCCTAGGTACTATTAAAATTCATGCAGGGAAGTGCCATATGCAGTCTCAAACCGAAAAAATGTGTACATCACTTTTTCTTCCCACAGCGCACACAGACATACATCAGAATCATTAATGAAATGAAGCAAGTCTATCTTGAGATGTCAGTAGTTACTCAGGTCATTAAAAGAGCTTCCCAGAATATTATGGAGCCCAACACAGATCCCTGTCCTGAACAATCCACTCTCTCCCATGCCATTTCTTTCAGATTTGTTTTAATATTACCCTCCCATATAAGCCTAGGTCTTCCTCAAAAATTCTGTATGCTCTTATCTTCTGCTACATACCCCACCCAGGTATGGACTTCATGCTTCAGCTGATTTAACTCTTAATGTAAAGCACCTGTGCCCCAGAGCTGGTCATACAGCCTCTCTGAATGCTACCTCTCTCGCAATGACTGTGGCCGCAATGTGAAGTATCACGACAATATGAACTTGACTGTGGTGTCACCTTCCCTATCAGTCTGCTATTGTGACTAGATCTTTGCATCTTTCCTCAATTGCTCCAGGAAATTTCTGGGATATGGCTTTAAATTAGACCATGATCACTTCCTGTGTAATTCCTGAGAGACACTCATCCAGTAATTTAACACAAACCTATGCGGTTGAAAAAAGTTGCTAGATAAGCCAAGTCTACCTGTGAAATGCAATTCTTCACCACTGATGAGGCATGCAAAGGCCAAGAATATTAAAGAAACAGCATTACCACCACAACAGCAGCAATCAATCAACAACCTCTGAGCTACCTAGAAGCAAGTCAACACCCCCTGGCACCCACTGTGCACTCTGCTTAAGAAACGGACCACCAAATTAGCAAATATTGTTTTTATAAAACCTGTCATGGGTTCATATCCTTGGCCACTTCAATCAAGCTCAATATTCCTTTCAGGTTTTTCCAAACTAAGTTTTGTGCACACGTCTTCTTTCCCCAATTTTGACTTAATGACATACACAACCTATCCAAGTCAACAGAAACATACAGAAATATAATGAAGCTTAGTGAGTTCAGTGCACCCTGGGTTCAAATTACATAAATCATAAAACATAGAATTCATGAATTCATAATTCCCTCTCCCTGGTGAGGTCTATGATCCCAATCACCTACACAACTACACTACTAGGGACATAACCTCTTGGTAGGGGTCATACAGAAGAGGGTTGGACTAAGGCCAACAACCTCACCTTGGAAATCAATGCATGTTAAGAAACCTGATGACAGAAATCAGCTGGAAAACTTAAATGACTAAGGATTAGGCCGCACCACAGCTCAAGAGGTTAGTCGCTGGCTTCCCACCGTGGCGGCCCGGGTTCGATCCTGGGTCTGGTCAAGTGGGATTTGTGGTGGACAAAATGGTGCTGGGCAGATTTTCTCTGAGTACTCCGGTTTCCCCTGCCACTCTTCATTCCACCAACTGCTCCACAATCACCCTCACCCATCATCTGGGGCTGGTACAACAGGCCAGAAGTGGCCACAGTACAAGGGACTTAGTCCCACCCCACTAGCAATAAAAAAAATGACTAAGGAAGGCTGCGCCATAGCTCAAGCTGTTAGTTGCTGCCTCCCCAACACAGCGGCCCGGGTTCGATCCCGGGTCTGGTCATGTGGGATTTGTGGTGGACAAAGTGGCGTTGGGACGGGTTTTCTCAGAGTACTTCGGTTTCCCCTGCCAATCTTCATTCCACCAAATTCTCCATCATCATAATCACCCAGGGCAGGTACAATAGACCAATCAGTGGCCGCTGTGCTGAGTGGACCCAGCTGGACTCCACCCCCCAATAAGCAAATTACAAAAAAATTAATTATAACTTAAATGACTAAGGAAAGGTTATCAGGGCAGCAGGTCATATCTTGCTCCTTGGGATGTGCTCAGTTCATAAGTAATCAATTAAAATTGAAATTCACTGGATGTCACCAAACGTCTGTCAACAACAACAAACATCTTTCAGATGATGTCAGACTCTGTTACTTGCATTGACAGTAACAGCTCACGACAACATGTAAATATCCTTCCAGAACATTGATGTAAGAATATGAGGCATGGAACTACCGCATTCAAAGGACAATATTTCAGTACCTCAGAACAAACATTTTGCTATAAATTTTCAATATAATTATTTTTTAATGAACAAACTCTGCAAATTCCTACTCATAAACAGCATTCGTGCTAGGTTCATGGCAAACTGCTGTATGAACATTCTACCAGAAGTGCATCAGCAATTAATATGCAAATGAGTCTGCCCCTCCAACTTACAAACAGCATACCCCACTATATTGTGATCATGTGGGTTGGGGTATTCATTCATTCATTTATTTTACATTCCATAGATCCACAGTACAACAGGTAGGATATGGAACACGTCAAGTGGTACATATATAAAAGACAAATAAGCCAAAAATAGAATAAAATAAAATGATGACAGAAATATAAAAAGTTCTATTACTAACAGTTTTAAAACTTGGTGATAATAAACATAATTTATTAAACTACATATAAATTCTTTGGTATGTCACTGACTTGCAATAGCCTTAAATTGAAGATATTCATCAATGGAATAAAAATAATGTGTATAAAGAAAAATATTTTAGACAGGCTTCAAATTTCCTTGGATTATGAGATATATCTTTAATATGTGGAGGAAGATTGTTAAATACCCATACAGTACACTCCCTTTGGGTAAACTGTAAAATTTACTGTAGGCAGATAAAATTATTTGATTGTCTTGTACCTGTATTATACTTTTCTGAATTTAAAATCAAGAGATACTTGTTATTGATCACAAACAACATGAGTGAAAAAATATATTGTGATGCAAGAGGCAAAATTTCCAACTTCCTAAACTGTAAGAGGCAAAATTTCAAACTTCCTAAACAAATTCCTGCACGAAGCCCTTCTCCTACAGCCCATCATAATTCTTATTATTCTTTTTTGCATTCTAAATATTTTAAAACTGTGGGGCGAATTTCCCCAGAACATTAAGCCATAGCTTATGATCGAATTAAAATATGAATAACAAATAATTTTCAGAACATTGAAAGACATATATGACTTAATACTCCTCATAATATAACATGCCAAACTCAGTTTTGGGATAATACATTGAATATGACCTCTCCAGTCCAATGAATCATTTATATTTATGCCAAGGATCTTAATGTTAGACATAGCTGTTATTTGTTGATTGTTATAAACAATATTTACATCAATTGTGGATTTATTTTTAGTTTTAAAATGAATACAATGAGTGTTGTTAACATTCATGATATGTAAGCAATGTCCATCTTTTAGTGCACTCAATTTTACTTGTTACTTCACAACATGTTTCGGCATAATAATGCCATCATCAGGTGCTTACTTATCCACGTCAAACCAGTTCATTGCATGCCATGTTCACACATTAAAATAACTAAAATATGTATCTATCATATACATTGTCAAACGTTAAAATATTAAAACTGTTCAGGATACCACATCGCTACGTCGCCCCTCACTACGTCAGTCACGCCCATTCTCCTTTGTTGGAGCACTCCTTCACTATCTTGTGTGTTGTGCTTTTGTTGTGTTGTGCTCCTGCGACTGCGTGTGTTATACTGTTGGGCTTCCTGGGTATGTGTGTGTGTTCTGTCTTCGTTTTGAGTGAGTTGAGTTTAGTTATTTTAATGTGTGAACATGGCATGCAATGAACTGGTTTGACGTGGATAAGTAAGCACCTGAAGATGGCATTATTATGCCGAAACATGTAGTGCGAGGGGGAGAAGGAGTTAAATGAGTGTATGCACTGCAAGACGGATTAAATAAATCATGGAATCAGGTACTCTATTTATGTCAATCTATTTCACTGCTTGCCATTATGTCATTGTAAAATTTATTTTACATTTTTAAATACTTTTTAAATTTTACAATGACATAATGGCAAGCAATGAAATAGACTGACGTAAATAGAGCACCTGATGATGGCACTGTAGTGCCGAAACATGTTGTGAAGTAACAAGTAAAATTGAGTGCACTAAAAGACGGACACTGCTTACATATCATGGATGAAGATCAGTGCAACAGGACGCTAAAATACAATGTTGTTAACATTTATTGAAAGTAAATTTGTTTTGAACCATTTATTTACGCAAGTGAAGGTGTCAGACATCTTATTTTGAAAGCCCCCTAAGCTAGAACCTTTGACTAATATGCTTGTATCATCAGCAAACAAAATAGGTATAGCTTTACTGTCTACAATCTTGGGCAAATCATTAATATAAATGTTTGGAAACGGAGTCTTAAAAGACTGCGATACATAATGAAGAGAAGTAATATTATCTGGGTTATGAAAGCTAAGTTCGTTATATTTATTAATATTTTTAGCTATAGATGAGAAATATTTATTAAACTCATTAGCTATCACTTGGTGGTTATTGACCAGAGTCCCTTTAATATTTAAAGTAATATTCTTATCAGTATTTCTTGTTTTATTAGTTTCTAATTTAACTATATCCCAGATGGTTTTATTCTTGTTCAGGGATTTACTAATTTTGTCTGCATAATTAAGTCTTTTTGCTTCCTTGATGACAGCAGATAAAATTTTACAATATTTTTTATAGTAGTTTAACGAGATTTAGATTATTACCGTCCCTACATGCTATGAAGAGTTCTCTTTTATGTTTACAAGAGGTTAGAATTCCTAAAGTAATCCAATTATTACAATTCTTTTTTCCAATGNCTTTGACTAATATGCTTGTATCATCAGCAAACAAAATAGGTATAGCTTTACTGTCTACAATCTTGGGCAAATCATTAATATAAATGTTTGGAAACGGAGTCTTAAAAGACTGCGATACATAATGAAGAGGAGTAATATTATCTGGGTTATGAAAGCTAAGTTCGTTATATTTATTAATATTTTTAGCTATAGATGAGAAATATTTATTAAACTCATTAGCTATCACTTGGTGGTTATTGACCAGAGTCCCTTTAATATTTAAAGTAATATTCTTATCAGTATTTCTTGTTTTATTAGTTTCTAATTTAACTATATCCCAGATGGTTTTATTCTTGTTCAGGGATTTACTAATTTTGTCTGCATAATTAAGTCTTTTTGCTTCCTTGATGACAGCAGATAAAATTTTACAATATTTTTTATAGTAGTTTAACGAGATTTAGATTATTACCGTCCCTACATGCTATGAAGAGTTCTCTTTTATGTTTACAAGAGGTTAGAATTCCTAAAGTAATCCAATTATTACAATTCTTTTTTCCAATGCTGACTCTCTTTAAAGGAAAGCTAGAGTAGAAAATTTTCAAATAGGAGTCTAGGAAGGAATTGTACATTTCATTGACATTATCCGTGGAGAAAAGNTTATTAATATTTTTAGCTATAGATGAGAAATATTTATTAAACTCATTAGCTATCACTTGGTGGTTATTGACCAGAGTCCCTTTAATATTTAAAGTAATATTCTTATCAGTATTTCTTGTTTTATTAGTTTCTAATTTAACTATATCCCAGATGGTTTTATTCTTGTTCAGGGATTTACTAATTTTGTCTGCATAATTAAGTCTTTTTGCTTCCTTGATGACAGCAGATAAAATTTTACAATATTTTTTATAGTAGTTTAACGAGATTTAGATTATTACCGTCCCTACATGCTATGAAGAGTTCTCTTTTATGTTTACAAGAGGTTAGAATTCCTAAAGTAATCCAATTATTACAATTCTTTTTTCCAATGCTGACTCTCTTTAAAGGAAAGCTAGAGTAGAAAATTTTCAAATAGGAGTCTAGGAAGGAATTGTACATTTCATTGACATTATCCGTGGAGAAAAGAGTATCCCAAGTTTCATAGCTTAATTTAAGGAGAAAGTCATTTATTGTATATTCGTTAATGTTTCTAGTCAGCACAAATTTTTAGTGGGTGGTCTTAGACTAAAAGAATGTAATGTTATAGTCCGGGCATCATGATCTGAAAGCCCATTTATTATTGGACTTATGGAATAATTTCCACCCTTGGTAATATTGATAAAAAATATTGTCAATAGCTGTGGCGGAATTATGTTGAATGTGAGTTGGAAAATTAACTACACTCGTTAATTTTTTAGTTTTGAGCAAGGCTTCCAATTGGCTTTTTCTATCACTGTCAACTAAATAATTTATGTTTAAGTCGCCACAAACAATGAAGTCAATAGTAACAATAAATAGTTCTTAAGGATTGCGTCTAATTTAATAATAAAAGTATCAAAATTGCCTGATGGAGATCTGTATATAGCAATTATACACACCTTTTTAGTATTCAAATATAACTTAATGGCACAAACCTCAAAATCCTTTCCTTACAATACTTTGCAAGGTCAATGCTTGCATACTTTATCTTTTCTCCTTTTTCATATGATGCTCTACAGTAACTAGCCCCTAAACTATAACTATATAAAAAGATTTGCTGTAGCTCTAAATAGTTCATATGATGTTCAGAAAGATACAGAACATGAGGGAAAGTCGGATATAATTGGCTTAACAGTTCATTTACTTTCCTTCTCAAACCTCTTATGTTTTGATGATAAACAGTTAAAGACAGTGATCTGTTTGATTGATAAAAACATTTCTTTTGGTGTTTGGTGTTACCACTACTAGTAAATAAGGTTTCTTCTCTACTACTATTTACACATATTTGGTTTATTATTCTTACTTACACCACTAACACTTTTACCACTCAGATAGGCGATGTTACAATTTACATTTACCATAAAACATCTTGCTTCCTAATAGGTGGGAGTTTTCTTAATCTCGTTGATTTGCGTGCTATTACCTGTTCCTGAGAGTCGTCATTTACTCTTGTAGATTTACCCACTGAGTCTGCTGGCAGTGGGTCATCATTTTCTTTTCAAGTTATATGCACACAAACCACATCAGTCTTTAATGGAATATCTACACTCACAACACTGTTCCCAAGTTTATGGCAGTCATCAGTCTCCTCAAGACTCAAACATTCCATACTGTTAACTGCTGGTAGTTTTTGGAGTCTATTTGATTTGCGTACTGGTTCATTTTTTTGCTCTGTAGTTGTTTTTACTGAGTCATTCATAGCTGGACACTTGTTAGCTTGTAGATTTGCATTATAATTTTCAGATTCCTTCCAGAGCAAGCAAATGTTCCTGGGTTGACCATTTCTTTTCTCACCTGTCTTCAAGGGTCCATTTGTTGTTGGAATACGAGTCCCTTCCTCTTCTAGCTCTTGTTCATCCTTCCCTTTCATTATAATTGGGTCAGACTTTTTCTCCCTCCACATATCCAAAATTTCTTTTACTATTCTTTTTACTATCTGCTCCTTACCTCTTGAATTCATATGTAACCCATGTTTAGTAAACGAGTCTCTTTCGGATTCTATCTCTATAACACGTGAAGTTCTGAAAACCTTCATAATTTTTTTTAACTTTCTGTTAAACCTTTTCACCTCATCATTTACACATGATTTTTGCTCCAAGTCATGTCTATGTGGTAGGTTCATAACTAAAACGTTTGTGTGAGTATTCTTGTTTACAAAGTTCCTAATTTGGATCATTCCCTTATCAGTCTCATTCCTGCTAACATCCTTAGTACCACCCCACACAATCACCAAGTCCTTTTTAGATGAGTCCTCAATATCATTCACACCTGAAGTTAAAACTGTTGCTAGATCTGCAACAGGTATCACTAGTCCTTGAACAATGTATTCCACATCTAGGTTATGTCGTAATTTAGCCGCCATTTCCCTTACATGACTCTCACCAAGAAATAAAATCTTGTTTCCTGGATTTTGAAGATTATCCTTTTTTCTTCTAACCTTCCCACTTTTTTGTTGAAGAGTTACCTTTTTGAATTCAGGCTCTTTGACATTCGACAGCACTTCTAAGCGGTTTGCGGTTATGATAGACTGGTTATCTCGTTGGATTTCCATCCTTCTGGTTGTCCTTACGGGTTTTGCACTTTTCCATTTCTGAGTGTAATTATACTCTTGAACATGTCCTTTATCATGGACCATATACTGCATCTGGCTTTCATGTGCGCCAAGGTCTGGGGAATCAGTCTTACCTTGTTCAGACTGCGCTAGATCGGTATAACATAATCCATGTTCTTTTTGTAATAAAGAATTATAGTTTTTAAAGATTTTAGTTCCTCTAGCACTTCAATAAGTTGACTTTGCAGTCAACTACAATTTACACAGGTTCCCTTATTATCTAGCTCAGACAGTGATTTAAACGGTGAGCAATCACCCCGCATAACTTCTTTTTCCACCATATTGGAAAACCATATGAATGTATATCATGTAGTCCTACAGGAGAATACCCAGCATTTCAGAGTAACATAACTGACTGCAGCTTCCAGGCTGATACCCACCTGTCAAGCTACAGTGTCCTGAACCAGATCAAAATATAAATCTTCATTGCTATAGAATCCTCAAAACTCAACTGCTTCAGGGACAACACACACCTTTGCTATACAGGCTCCTTGCTGCTGGCACCTGGTGACATGCCTTCTCTGCAGATGGAATGCAGGAGGAAGGGGGCCCCTCCTGGATCCTCCCTGTTGAGACAAGGCCCAATCACATCCTCTGACAGCTGAGACAGCAGTTACTCCACTGATGCCCCACCAGCCCTACCAAGAATCACAAATTATAATTCTCGTACAATCTGCATCATACTGATGCCTCTCCCACTGTTCGTTTCCAAAATCCTACTCGATAATGTTCCTCCACGAGACTCACCTTCACTACAAGACAGCTTTGTGACTGGTGTGCAAGTGGCCATCTGAGTGTAAGGGATCTTGGGTGCTCCTTCCTTGGTAAGAAGTCCAGTTTCTCACAGGTGACATTGCAGGGGGCACTTGAGGAATTCCTGCATGCTCCTAGCTGGCTTCACGCCAAACAGCGTCCTTCACCATGGAGAATGGTTTCTCTTTTTTTTAAATCATGCCACCCCAACACAGAAAACAAGAGTAAAAAATGGGTAAAGAATACTCAATTCTCAAGCACAATATATTTACCAACACGGCTTATTATACACTAGACAACTCATTAACATTAACCCATTTCATACGAGCGCATTATCCATTCAAAATTCGAATTCAAGATTTTCAGTTTGTAAATAACTCACCCAAACGCGAGTGTCAGTACAGGACCTCCTTGCACCAGATGGCTACATTCAGCGTCATCATGAACTGTAACTCGCCACTGCGAAGCCATCAAATTGCTGCCAACATTGAGCAAAAATCTCTAAGAGGACTCTCAACCACTTCCCTTATGCTAAACTACTCTTAACTACATACAACGAAGTGCAAAGCAAACTGTCAATTTTCTCTTGGGTGTGGTGAGGTCGGTTCCCCATTGCTGTTCTTCCTACATAGTAATGTACCGCAGGCAATACACCCTGACACCTAATATATCAAGTCAACATCATAACCATCATAACAATCCTCTGCAGTGTAACAAAAGCAAAACCTGACTGGAACTTCGGCTGATATGGGGTGGACAGACCATTGTCTTAACTGTCAAAGCTTAAATAATTCCTCTTGTAAATAACAACGGCTACTTACCTGCAAACTATTATTTGATGATCTCTACGCTTATTATTAAGAACAGAGATTTTAATTATTCCTACCGCGTTCATTTCTCCATGTACCCTACACTTAAACCTTCGACTTCAACCGGCCATATTTGGCGAAAATGAAAACCAATCAAATCTTGTCGGTCCAATCATGTGAACCAACGGTTACACCCAAAGTTACCATGATAACTTATGGGTCAGGTCGGGAGAGTACGCTGCGGTTCTCTGTTTCCTGGGCTCCTAGAAGCATGACCCTACTCTTCCCTTTAATTCTCTCTCTAGCACGCATCGCCTACCAGTCCCGAGTCCCGAGCAAACAAAAAGGTCCAGCAAGTGCTCTGTTTGCAGTGATAGATATGTCCCAACATCTTTAACATACTTAAACCCTGCCTTTTGCCAATAGATTACATTTGTGTTTCATGTTACTCTCACATTAAATAGCGATTCTTTTCTTAACCGCATGAACCGGTTGAGCTTTGTAGCAGAGACGTAATATGTTTCTTGCGAGATACGAATTTAATTTTGATATTTGCAAGAAAATCGGTCTTTGAAGGGTTAACCCATGCGAATTTCCTGTGCCTCACTTGCATCAAAGTTTAATAAATTGTTCACAGAGGTCAGGTGGTACCAGTGGTACCAGCGGTACCAGTCTACTACAGCTCCATCTTGGAAGGCAATGTGGCATTACAAAGCAAAAAGAATATGCCGTTAAGGCACTATGCTACAAGTCGGAAGGTCGCGGGTTCAAATATCGATGAGGTCATTGGATTCTTTCAATTGACCTAATCCTGGGGTTCACTCAGCCTCTAACAGAAATGAGTACCAGGAATTAAGTAAATAATTTTCTTGGGGAGCAAAGCACTGCCGGTGCGTAGGGCCCACAACCTTACCGCCATCTTTGAGCCGATTGTCTAGAGATGTGGGACCCTCAACGTCTCACAACCTTATGGTCCTTCAGGGCCTGTTATAGTGATAGCTTTACTTTACTTTTTTTTTACTTTATTATTATTATTATTATTAATGAGGATTATGTTCTTTTGTATATATCTTTTAACTACTTAACAATTTTTGACAAGAAAAAGGTTAGTTTCATATGAGCTCCGTGTAAAGGGAGGGTTCCTGTCAAATGTATGAAGAGAAGTGTCACACATGGTCCTGCATGCAGGTATAATACTTAAAAGTAGTTTAAATGAAAGGGACACCTGAGCCTAGTGATGAGACACAATCTCTTACTTTGGGGAGGTGGGGGATCAGTTTTAATTTAGGGGGTTTTGTGGCATATTGATTAAATCTTAATTGTATTTCCACCAGTGTAACAAACTGTGTTTCATGAAACAGATGGCATCTTCTCATCTGTACTAAGGCTTTCTCATGATTTTTCTTTCCATAGATCTTCCCATAAAAATTTAATGTTTATTTTTTCTTATATGCATGGAGCATTTCAATTCCAATTAGCCGTTTAAATTTAAATGTATGAAAATTCACTCACTCATGGAGCTGAGTCCTTCCTGAGAAGCTGCCAATTGTGCAGCTACTCAAAAGCTTCCCAGTGTTTTATGGAACCCAAAGGTTCATTACTGTATTCAGAAGAGCCCTATCCTAAGCCAGATCAATGCAATCCATACCATCTTATCCTATCTATCTAAGATCAATTTTAATATTGTCCACTCACCTGCGCTTTGGTCTTCCTGGTGGTCTCTTTCCTTCTGGCTTTCCCACCAATATTCTATATGTATTCTGTTTCTCCCCCATTCATGCTACATGCACTGCCAACCTCATACTCCTTGACTGACTCATTCTAATTACACTGGGAGAAGAGTACAAGTTGTGGAGCTCCTCATTATGCAGTTTTCTTGAGCCTCCTGTCACTTCATCTCTCTTTGGTTCAAATATTCTCCTCAACACCTTGTCCTCAAACACCTTCAGTCTATGACCTATTTTATTTGCAGATGATGCCAGTGTGTTAATCTCACATGCAAATCCAATTATGTTTAGAAATACAATAAACGAAGTATACAGTTTACTAGATGATTGGTTCAAAAAACTTAATGTCTTTAAATACAATGAAAACATATTATATAAACTTTACTGCAAAAAAACAGGTACAAAGGGATATAGGAGATTTAGTAACAATTATTACAAACATAAATCATACTAAATTTCTTCGACTGACCATTGAAAACGTTATGACCTGGGAAAGACATATCGATGAGGTAACAAAGAAATTGACTACAGCTTGTTACATGATCAGAAATATAAAACCAGTAGTATCTACGAAAATATTAAAAAGTATCTACTACTCATATTTCCATTCGGTTTTGATGTATGGTCTGATATTCTGGGGAAACTCATCGCATGCCGAAAGGGTTTTCAAATTGCAAAAGAGAGCCATAAGATTGATCAAAGGCTGTGATCTTAGAGAGTCATGTAGAGAACATTTTAGGGATATGAACATACTGCCCCTAAGATCACAATACATGTACTCATTAATTATGTTTGTAATAAATAATAAAGAAATATTCAATATAAATAAGGATTGCTATGGAAAAGATACTAGACAAAATATGAATATACATATGTACCAGGTCAATTTGGCGAAATATAGGAATGGGGTTTATCACATGGCTGCAAGGATTTATAATGGACTTCCAAATACAATCAAAATAATCTCAAATAATGCAAATAAGTTTAAAGCCAGTTTAAAAGAGTTTTTATTTGTGAACTCCTTTTATACATTAGAGGAATATTTTAATAGATGACAATGGCAACATTATGCAAAGGATAATTTATATATTTAACTTTTTAATTTGATTTATATTACAAACATATTGACAACTGCTTGATTTATAAGCAAGATGAGTTTATACTACTGGACGATTCATATATCTGTTGGTTGTGTAACCGTGTAAGGATTTTATGGAAAGAATGATGTGAAATTGACCAAGTAACTTCATTTTATCTGTAATAATACTTCTTATCTGTTTTGTTGTCAATATTATTATCCATATTACTTATCACCATTATTTTATATTGTATATTGATTACTGTGATATTGTGTAAACTCTTAAACTTGTTTTATATTGCAAACTATTTGACAGCTGCTTGATTTATAAGCAAGATGAGTTCATACTACTTGACGATTTCTATATCTGTTGGTTGTTTAAACCATGTAAGGATTTTATGGAATGTGAATAAATGAATGAATGTTCCTCCCTTAATGTCAGAGACTAAGTTTCACACCCATACAGAACCACAGGCAAAATTATAGTCTAGTATATTGTAATTTTTATGTTTTTGGACAGCAGACAAGACAAAAGTTTCTGGACTGAATGGTGGCAAGCATTACCCGAGCTCAGTCTCCTCTTAATTTCCTCCTCAATCAGGTTTTATTTGTTATCGTCATTCCCAAATATCTGAACTGTGACACATTTTCCAAACATCTGTTTCCTATTTTTATGTCATGATTTTGCCCTGCGTTTTGGTGATGTGACAGCAACATATATTTAGTTTTCTCTGTTTACTTCTAGACCAACCTCCTTGCTAGCATCAAAGTTTGTGTGTGTTTTTATGGTATCTGTATTATCATCCAGTAGATTCACATCATCGGCATAGACCAACAGCTTATGTGTCCCATTTTTTCAGTTCCACCTGGTTTTCCTGGACCTTCCTAGTGGCTTATTCTAAAGTAAAGTTAAACAGGAGTGGCAATAAAGCATCACATTTTAATCAGCCTAACTAGTTTCATGAGTACCCCAAATTCTAACAGAATATTGTACAATACTTCCCTTGTGACTGAATCATAGGCTTTCTTGAAGTCTACGAATAACTGAGGTGCTGTCTCAGTGTACTCCCATTTTTCTGCAATAACTGACAAATTCAAGAGATCAGATCAGTAGTTGATCTGTTAGGTCGAAACCCACACTGATCATCCCCAATAATTTCATTTATGTATGGACTTCACCTTGAGAGAAGAATATTGAACAAAATTTTGTATGAAGTTGATAGCAGTGATACACCCCGATAATTACTACAGTCAGTTTTATCACCCTTCTTGTGAACTAGTACAGTAATAGACTCCTTCCACTGTTCAAGCAATTTTTCCTTATGCCAAATAGAAGTAATTAGCTTATGAATCTTAGAACATAATACGTCACCTCCTGCTTGAATAAGTTCTGCCAGAATTTGATCACTACCTGGTGATTCATACATTTTCAATTTTGCAATAGCAATTTCAACGTCAAGAGGCCTAGGATCAGGTACTAACAGCTCAGCTGTATGTATTTCTATCTGCCTAACATCACTGACCCTATGTCCATTCAACAACAGAGTAGTAGTTCTTTCGCATATTCAAAATGTGGGAATCTACAAGCAGATCACCATTCTCATCCTTCACAAAGTTACTTCTAGGTTGGTAATCCCTTAAAGTTATTTATAAGTCTCTAATGTTATTGTTATTACTGTTCATTACAAGTTCACTAATTTTGTCTTCCAGATATTCCCTCTTTTTACTCCTGAAATTCTTGCTGGTTTCATGTCTCATATGTTGTTCAGGTTATTGCCATTTATTTTGCTTGGATCTTGTAACCACTGCAGTTTGGCTTGTTTCCTTTGACCTAATAATTCTGAGCATCCACCATACCACGGTGTAGGCTTCTTCAATTTAAAATAATTTAGACCCTCTTTAGCCTAAATTTTTATATTTTCTCTAATAGTTTCCCAAGCTTTATTAACATCCACCTCAGTGCCTATGTTTTCCAAAGTCGCAAACCTATTTGAGATTTCAACACACTACTGCTCTTTACCTTCTATCTCTATTAATTTCTTGAGATTGAATCTCTCCATAAAGAACTTGTGCGTTTGTGTATTCACTGCCAGTCTCTCTCCAACATTTCGCACCACCAGATAGTGGTCAGTATCACAATAATCTCCTGCCCTGAATGATCAGACATCAAGCATACTTGAATGCCATCTCCCATCTGTCAAAATATGGTCAATATGATTGTGAGTCTTACCAGCAGGAGAAGTCCAAGTAAATTTATGAATGTTACAAAGTGGGAACATTGTACTTTCAATAGTCAGATTTTTGGATGTGGAAAAGTTTACTACTGTAACTCCATTATAATTACTAATTTCGTGCAAACTCTCATTCCCAATCATTGGTTTCAAAATGTCTTCCCTGCCTACTTTGAAATTAAAATCTCATAAGAAAATTTTCATATGGTACTTCAGAAATTCATCATATACAAGTTCTAGTTCTTCAGGGAACCTGTTCTTTATATCATCAATTTTACCTTCTGTTGGGGCATGAACATTCAGAGCTATGATGTCACACCAGCGACATCTTAGTATTATGTATGAAATCCTGTCACTAACATACTCTACCCTGTTAACTGCTGATATGATTCTCTTATGTATGACAAAATCTGTACCTAATTAATGATTTTCATTCCCCCTTCCATAGAAAAATGTATATTCGCCTGTTGGTTCAGTGCCACCTCCGTCCCTCCCACTACATCTAACTTATATTCTGAGATTTCTTCTGCCACTGCCCTGAGTGAACCTGCCCTATACATACTTCCGACATTCCTAGTACCAGATCTCATAATGAAAATTACTAGTGGAAAATATAAATTATGAAGTCTCTTGTTACACAGTTAACTGCAGTCTCTAGTCTGAGTTCCTATCATCACTTTTTAAGGTACCTTCAGTATTGTCATGTGTTAGTAACTAGAAATGGGGTTTGGACCGATAATTTGATTTACTGAATGCTTGCAACTCATTTTTTTTTCTGTGGCACTACAGCCCCAATTTTGGCCTAGGCCTACTTACATGAAACTCTCTGTTTAACTTCGGTTTACTAGATCTTACACATGCGGTAAGACTCCTTGGGCGAGTGATCAGCTCGTCGCAAGGCCTCTACCCGTAGACAAACACAGAAAAACGCACACAAACATCCATGCCCTGAGTGGGATTCGAACCCACGATCCCGGCTTCCGAGCGAGTGAAGACAGCCATGCCTTAGACTGCTCGACTACTGTGACCGGCGTTTGCAACTCATAGCTACAAGTAACTATAACAGTCTTACTTACTTACAGGCTCTAAATTGTTGGAAGTGCAGAACACATAAAGTACTTAAACCTCATTTGATACATTGTAGCCTAGTTTAAAATTGCATTCAATGAAGAACATCCACTAACTTTGGTTTTCCAGCAATTGCAAGATGTTGGCTGATACCGTTTACTCCCATTTCCATTTCCATTTCCATTTTTTTTTCCCATTTAGTTACAACCCAGAATTTGGCAATCTTCATAGTTACTGCTGTAAGAACGTCAGTTCCACATGTACTTCACTCTTTGTAAGCCTTCTGAAACTGGAAGCTCAAGAAAAGTTCCTCTTTAGCTTGCAAAATCCTTGGTGAATAAATTTTATAATATAAAATTATTAATATAACAAGAACATAAGCCATGTCTTTTAAAGAAAAATATTCGATCTGCCATATAAAAATTCGGTGACATAAGTTCCAAATATTAATTACTTTTGGTGTGATGTGACTTTTTATGAGTCTGACAGTACAGTAATCAACACACACACCAATATCTATGAATATGTTGCATGATAAGCTGAACATTTAAGAAGTATTAAAGCTGGTACTAGGTAAAAGGTAAGGTAAGGTTGTCCATGCAATTAGTTAAGTTACACATAATAAGTTATGGGGAAATGGAGGTATAACTCCACATATTAACCTTAGCACTAGATGGAGGTGAGTGGTCACTGCATATAATAGCCACATCACCCCTGGAAAAGCATCTCTGGTACTCAGTGGATAGTAGGTTGGGTGGGCCCCAGAGCTGGTGTGGATGTGGTAGAGAAGGGACCTCTTGTGCTTGTCAGGAACTGAACTCAGATTCCTCAGTCATCCAGCCCATAGCTAGTGACTATGACTGAGATATCCTGGTTCCAAAGGGGAAATAATCAATATTTATTAATTTAATTAAAGAACAGATGACTACAGTGCATAAATGGTTAACCCACACGAACAGGATGGAGCAGCGTTTCTCAAACTATGGTCCGCGGACCACAAGTGGTCCTCGAGGTGTGCCCTTGTGGTCCTTCAAAGAAGACAGAAGAAAAAATAAAATTAAAATGAATTGCGTATCACACTATAGCTGAAAATCTCAGAGTTTCGAAATTACACATGGCAATCGTCTTTCACTTCTACATATCTGTGTGAGAAAAGGTTTGCATCAGTAAGTCCAATAAAAACAAAGTACCAAAATCGACTCGATGTATGTGACGATCTCCGACTTAAGCTTACCAACATACGTCCAAATATAGAACTGTGCAAGAATCAGCAGGCTCACCCGTCTCACTAATGTGAGTACCAACATTTATTTATTTTTTTAGCTAATAAGTTAAAGATTATCCAAATTCTAATAGCCTTGAATTATTAAAAAACCAATATGAATTTTTTTCTCTTAACTTAATTACTTAACCTTTAAACGCCGGACTTCGAAATAGTGGTAAACTTGAGCTGGCCAGAGTTTATTTAAATGCCTGCTGCTGGTACTCGTTTAAATGCCCGTTGCTCCCTTGCGTTTAAATGTCCGTTCCTGTTAGGCGGTTAATCAATTTTAAGCGTTGTGTTTAAAAATGCTGTATCTAGCACAATTTTTATGATAAATGGATGGTATTAACTTTATTTATATCAGCAAAGAACATAGTGTCGCATATTATAACGGAAGAATTGAAATTTTTAATACAAAGTGTTATACTCTATTTTCAATTTTTTGTGTTTTAATTTTGATGCGTACTGCAAAAATTGTTTCCCAGTTCTTCACAGAGTTGTTCTGCATTATAAATTCATAGAACGACCTGCCATGTTGTCACTGTCTACCTATGGCTCTACAGCCCTTGTGGATCTTGACCACTTTTTCGGTTTCTTAATCCATACACGGTAGGACTCCTTGGATAGGAGATCAGTCTGTTGCAAGGCCGCCATCTACACATAGAACAACACAAACAGAATAAATGCACACAGACTTCCATGCCTCAAGAGGGTTTCGAACTCATGCCTTAGATCGCGCGGACACTACAATCAGCCCTGCTGTCACTATGGACAATTATGGTATTGAACCCAAGTCATATTATTGAGAATTTATTCTTTAACTGCCTTGGTTGTGGCACAGCCTGGAATGCTTTCTGTATTCTGAAAATATCTTCATGTAATTAAGTGTTACATTGAAAAACATTATGCCAAACAAGTGCAAATACCAGCCAAAGTATTTACTGTACTTTTTATAATAACGGTAAAGTTGCACCTGTTCCTAACTAACATTTCATGAAGTGGATGTTGAGTTCTATATATTCCTAGTTTCATCAATACACAAGCCTTATTTTCTAGTTGCTGGAGTGGAGTGTCACTGAGTCCATTGATACTGCAAGCCTTAAATGAACCTATGATGCCAACCCCTGATTATGGATAAGTATGAGACATTACTGAAATAACAATTTGCAGGAGGAAGCTGAAAATGTGGGAGAAAACCCTGCTTATATGCCACTTTAGCCACCATTAACCCACTTGGACTATTCTGGGACTGAACCTGAGCCCCTATAGTATGAAGCCATTAACTAGCTGCTTGAGCAATGGCATGACCTATAGATAAAGTTAAAGGCCAATTTTGCTCCTCAAGTATGCATTTGATAGGTATGGACATGATGCCAGAAAATGATGATTCCCTGCCTGGCATCAAGCCCAGCACCCCCACCACCAACCATACTACCACCTTCACTGCTGCTGCTGCTACTACTACTACCACCACCACCACCACCACTTATGGGCACTGGCAGGAGGGGAAGTCAGGCGTCTCCCCTCAGTTTCTCTGGAAAAATAAGAAAATATTAAATGTTAAAACCAAGAATTAAAGTGTTTGAAAAATCTATTATTGTAAATGGGGTACGTGGTAGGGTAGCTGGTTGAGGCACTATGCTACAAGCCGGAAGGTCGCGGGTTCTAGTCCCGATGAGGTAATTTTTTTTTCAGTTGGCCTAATCCTTCCAGGCACACTATGGCCCTGGGGTCGACTCAGCCTCTAACAGGTATCTTCCTGGGGGGTGAAAGGCGGCCGGTGCTTAAGGCTGACAACCTTACCGCCATCTGTGAGTCGATTGTCTAGAAGATGTGGAAGCCTCGACCCCTCACAACCCTATAGGCCTCCACGGCCTGTTACAGGTATAGCCTTACATTTTATTATTTTAAAATACTTCTGGACAACCAGCAACAATTGAATGGCTAAACCCTTTGTGAAACTGGCAGTTCCAACTGGTCGAGGTGCATTTAATTTGCAGGAGAGGGTTGAAATTTTACTCATGTTACATGATAACAAGCACGTGACCCATCAAGGAGGATAGACAAAGTCTGCTGGGGACTCGAAGCAGATACCTATCGCATACATGATATGAACTGAATCCTGTATATTAATGGCGTCGAATGTATAATGTTAATAAGATGAAGCATGAATGGCGGACAAAGTAAAGAAACAAGAGAGAATTATCGTAAGGTACTTAATGTGTTTACGCCACTCCATCAGACACAGTTAAACACGTTGGTAATTAAACGTGACATGAATTGTTTCATGATCTGGAGATTTCCTTAACCTGTTTTTCACGTTCTGACTCTCTGAGACTATTCTGACTTGTAGGATTTGACGTTCTCACGGTGTTGCTGCATGTTATTTGAGCTTAAAAATACGTATAGACTAGCGATAAGTTTACACCAAGCTTGCTGCAATGCTCGCCGTGCTGGCTATGGCGAGAGCGAGGAAAGGGTGGAGGCAGAGTTGTGCACCTGCAGTTGACTCGTCTTTCGCTTGCTCTGCTGTATTCGCTGTCACTTCATCTGTTCCTACGTCAGTGTCCAGTGGCGGCTGGTTCGTTAGACGATCCTCGACACCCTCGCTTTTTAGACTACTTTCTTATTTTGAAAAAAAAAATGAAAGTAGGCATATGCGATCTCAATGCCCTCTGTGTTTACTCCTATCAACTTCTAAATTACTGAACCAGTCTTAATGAAACATGGTATGTATCATGGCACCTGAGCTCATTTCAACGGCGTACTTCATAAATCCCTCCCCTCAGTCTGTATGTCTATATGTGTGTGTCTCCTATTGTTGCTAGTTCAGTTTTATTTTATTTATTTTAATTTATTAAAAGAAGCCACAAGTAACTAGGAAATTTTAGCGTCAAATGACTGAAAGATACCGGTTCGTGATCTGAAAAACATTACATTTGCCAAACCGGCATTTGCATGGAGGGACTGAGGAAATCCAAGAAAAATTTCATTTAGGACAGGCAATGTTCCGGCCCCAATTCGAACTGAGCACCTCCCAAATAAAAATCAGAAGCGTTACCGACTGAGCCGCCTTTCTCGAGTCCTCACTTCATCAACTATACAATCACTAATAAAAGAAAATTTACCTAATAACGTTTCGTATTAATTGAGAAGGTCGCGGGTTCAAGTCCCGATGAGGTCATTGGATTTTTTCAGTTGACCTAATCCTTCCAGCCCCACTAGGCCCTGGCGTTTACTCAGCCTCTAACAGAAATGAGTACCAGGAATTAATTAAAAATAATTTTCCTTGGGAGTAAAGCGTAAGGCTGACAACCTTACCGCCATCTTTGAGCCGATTGTCTAGATCAGCGTTTCTCAAACTTTTCTGAAGTGGGGACCACTTTTGTAAGTCTGAACAGTTCTGCGGACCACCTTACTCTTGTTCCCTTCGAAAGAAAATTTATCATATTTTTAGCATATTTTAATACCAGTATACTTATATTTTAAAATATAATTAATTAAAATTAACGTAATTCAATTAATTTTATATTAGTATTAAGTAATTAAGTTAATAGAAGAAAATTCATATTCGTTTTTTAATAATTCAAGGCTATTAGAATTTGGATAATCTTTAACTTATTAACTAAAAAAATAAATAAATGTTGGTACTCACATTAGTGAGATTCTGCTGATTCTTGCGCAGTTCTATATTTGGATGTATGTTGGTAAGCTTAAGTCGGAGATCGTCACATACATCGAGTCGATTTCGGTACTTTGTTTTTATCGGACTTAGTGATGAAAACCCTTTCTCACACAGATATGTAGAAGTGAAAGACGATTGCCATGTGTAATTTCGAAACTCTGAGATTTTCAGCTATAGTGTGATACGCAATTCATTTTAATTTTATTTTTTCTTCTGTCTTTTTTGAAGGACCACAAGGGCACACCTCGAGGACCGCTTGTGGTCCGCGGACCATAGTTTGAGGAACGCTGGTCTAGATAGTGTGGGGCCCTCAACGTCTCACAACCCTATGGGCCTTCACGGCCTGGTACAGGGATTGCTTTACTTTACTTTACTTTATAAGAACATGAAGCTATTATATATATATTCTTCTGCCACTGCCCTGAGCGAACTTGCCCTATACATTTTTTTAATGCTAGTGGGGTGGGACCAAGTCCCTTGTGCTGCGGCCACTTCTGGCCTAACCTGCCCCAGTGCCACTTTGTCCACCACAAATTCCACTTGACCAGACCAGGGATCGAACCCGGGCCACCGCGGTGGGAAGCCAGCGACTAACCGCTTGAGCTATGGCACTGCCCTATACATACTTTTGACGTTCCCGGTACCGATCTCATATCCATTTTCTTTAGCTGAGGTCATTTATCCAGAGGATCCGTCCAGGTCCGAGGCTTTGTGTTCATTTTCGTAACATGATTATTTTTTACGGCGAGGAGTTCTTAGCCCCGCGCCCAACCCCAAAGCTGGAGGCCCACCCCTTGTCGGCTGTCCTCGACTGCTTATTCAATATATTCGCAGCTTCCCTCCAAAACTGGAGGGCGTCTCCTCCATCCGAAACCTGAGGACACACCATGCCGTGGTGACAGGGATCCACCTAACATTAAAGGAGGAAGTTAGCCTGAGGGTGTTAGAGAACAGGGTGTTAAGGAGAATATTTAGACCAAAGAGAGATGAAATGACAAGAGGTTGGAGAAAACTGCACAATGAGAAGCTTCATAACTTGTACTCTTCTCCAAGTATAATTAGAATGATCAAGTTAAAGAGGATGAAGTGGGCAGGGCATGTAGCACGAATGGGGGAGGCAAGGAAGGCGTATAGGATATTGGTGGGAAAGCTAGAAGGAAAGAGACCACTGGGAAAACCCATACGTAGGTGGGGGGACAATATTAAAATGGATCTTAGAGAGAGAGAATGAGATGATATGGATTGGATTGATCTGGCTCAGGATAGGGACCATTGGAGGAATCCTGTGAACACGGTAATGAACCTTCGGGTTCCTTGAAGTGCTGGGAAATTCTTGAGTAGCTGCACAATTGGCGGCTCCTCCAGAAGGGCTCAGCTCCATGAATAAGTAAGTAAATAAGTATACAGAGTGTTTCACGACTTTAGGGCATAACTACATGAGGTGATTTCCTAGGTCTTTGTGATCAAAAAAGTT